GTCGCTGCTGAAGGTGGGTGTCGCCCGAAGGCCGCGATCCTCGGGTGCGACCGGACGGCGGGCCCCAGGGTCCCCGCTTGTCCCCCCAGCCCCCGGCTCAGGGAGGTACCCGGCGGCAAGGAGCGAGCCCTGTCGGAGAGAGTGACCCCGGCCGGCCGAGCAGGCGCGCCCTGGCGGGGGCAGCAGCCCTCAAGCTCTCCTAGTCTGCCCGGGCCTGCCCTGCCCTGTCTCGGACCTCAGGATAAACCGTGCGGGTTGTCTGCCGAGGCAGTGTTGGGGTCTCCCGGGGTGGAGGCGGCCAGGACGGAGCGGCAGCTCCTAGAGCCGGAGGCGTTAGGTGGAGACTCCCGGGCGTCCGCTGGCCGTGGAGGGCCGCAGTCGCTGCATGCGTCCCGCCCTAGCTGGGGTCGAAAGAAAGGGATAAAGCACCCGCGTGAGCAGGGGCGCTGACGGGCGGCAGGGGTTCTTGCGGAAGCAGTGCAGTCCCATGTTTGAGAGCCAGTCCTGGCTCTGGTGCGAAACTGCACCCGGGGAGACGGTGGCCACAGTACCTGGCCGCCCGCAGGGGGATGGGACAGCTAAGTCCGGGAGCCTGCGAAGGAGCACCCAGCACCAGAAGCTGGCTCACTCTTCCCGCCTGGGGCCGGAAGTTGCTTTCGGGCTTGTCAGTGCTCCAGGAGGGTTTTCACCAGACTTTCCATCTGCTCAAGCAAATGAAAAAGGGGACGCCGGGTCAGAGAACCGGCTGAGTTCCCCGATGGCTTCCCACCCCCTGCAGACAAAGCGACCAGCCAGCTTCTGCTGGAGACCGACTGGGAGTCCATCCTGCAGATCTGCGACCTGATCCGCCAGGGGGACACCCAGTGAGTAGTGCGGGGCGCTGCCTCCGGGACCCTGTCAGGCCCTTCTCTGGGAGCCCCTGGATCTACCTGCTATGGCTTCGGCAGCTCCAGCAAGTGAGGGGCTTTCCCCATGCATCTCAGAGCCCCTGACTGTGTGGACGCTCGCATGGGGCGCCCAGGGGCCACTCTGACACGGGCTTTCCCCAGAGGGCTCAGGTGCCAGCCCTGTTTTCTTTCTCTTCTGCCTTTGTTGGTGCCTCTTTTGGTTCTGCAAGTGTGTGTCTCATGTGAGACAGAAACAGGCACCCCGGGACCTCACGCCATGTCCTGCCCCAGGCTCAGCCAGCCTGGATCGTGGGCTTGCTTGGGAGGCCCCAGGACGTGGCCCTACAGTGGGAGTGGGCACTGCACCACCCGTGCCCCACCGTGCCGTTTCTTTTTCAGAGCAAAATATGCCGTGAATTCCATTAAGAAGAAGGTCAATGACAAGAACCCTCACGTGGCCCTGTATGCTCTGGAGGTAATGGCCATCCTGCAGGGTGTCTGCCTTCCAACCTTGAGGGTCCCCGCCCCAGCAGACAGCCTTGTCCAGCTTACTCAGTACCAAGTAGGCAGCAGCCCCTTCTCGGCTCGGGTGCCCCGAGGAGGCGCCTGTGTGCTCAAGTGTGAGCAGTGCTTGGAGGTCCCAGCTCTCAGGGGTGGCCGGGCCGCACTGCTCCTGGGCGCCAAGGGCATCTCTGTGCTGCGCTCCGCAGCAAGCACAGGTCAGGGAGCAGGCATATGCTGTAGGCTGCTCTGGCTCAGAAGCTGCCTCCTCTTGGGGAGGGGTTCCGGCCCTACCCATCGGTGCTGCCCTTCCTCGGGTCTGCAGGTCATGGAGTCTGTGGTGAAGAACTGTGGCCAGACGGTCCATGATGAGGTGGCCAACAAACAGACCATGGAGGAGCTGAAGGAGCTGCTGAAGGTGGGTGCTGCCTGGGGCAGGCTTTGCGGCGGCATGACCCAGTGCCCAGGATGGGGCACTCTGGACAGAGGCATCTTAGGAGCCCCTGCGCTCAGATCTGGGGAGAGACAGGTCTGCAAGTTGGGACCCGGAAAAGTGGGACGGAGCTGGCCGGCCGGGTGGTTGTGTCCAGGGTCTGCAGAGACACCTGCACTTTGTGGTGGGGAAGGAGGTGGGGCTCAGCCGAGTCTCAGTGGGCAGCTGGGGGCGGTGCAGGCTGTATGTGCAAGGGTGGCCATAGCAGGTCTGTGAGCAGAGGCCCAAGTGGGACCCAGGGCAGTAGAGCCAGGACATGGAACGAGGAGCTGCCCTGGGGATTGGGTTTTGTGCCCTCCTTTGGCAAATGAGGAAAAGCCCTCCATGGGCCGCAGAGCTTGTGACTGTGGGGCCCCTGCTGGCACTGTAGTGTGGCAGTGACCGGGAGGGTGTGTGGTGAGAGTGAGCTGCTCTGGCCACCCTGAGGGGAAAGGGCGTCCCACCAGGAAAAACTGCCCTGGCTGATGCTGCCACGAGGTGGGCTGCCCCAGGCCCCTCGGGCCCCAGCTGAGAGGACAGCTGTGTTTGCACTGGGCCTCTGCTGGTGTCGGCACACACGCCACACGAGCGGGGCAGGGCAGGGGCTGCAGGTGTGCAGGCAGGCCACGGGACAGAGCAGCAGCTCCAGCCTAAGCAGCTTTACCCACCAGTCTTCGGTGTTGCCTGAGGACAGTGTCTCTCTGCCAGGTCTAGGGAGAGCTCGTGGAATTGGGTCTTGCTGTGAACCCACCTGGCACCTGTGGGAGCGCTGAGGCTGGAGCCCTATGTTGGGAGAAGGTGCTCTCCTGCCTCTCCCTGGCGGAGACTGGTGGCTCTGTGGGAGTCCCGCGTGTTCTCAGCCTTGCGTGGCACTTCTGTGTGTTAGGCCTCTGGAGGGTTCTGCCGGTGGAGGCTGGCACGAATCAACAGGAGCAATGGCTATGGACCCAGGGAAGGCCCAAGGCTGGCCCAGGACCCACGGGGCAAAGAGAATGCGACAACAGAGCGCGCAGGGCCTGGAATGGGTTGGTTCCAGGGAATCCCCTGGTTTCTCCCAGGGTTGGAGGAGTCCCAGCCCTAGGCGAGCACGGGTAGGCAGAGGGCCTGCGAGCCCTCACTTGTGCCGCCCTGGCCCACCTGCTCAGAGCAGCGGCCTGCCGGGTGCTTTCTCCCTTGTCAGCGTGTCCTTGCTCTGCAGCGGCAGGTGGAGGTGAGCGTGCGCAACAAGATCCTGCACCTGATCCAGGCCTGGGCGCACGCCTTTCGCAACGAGCCCAAGTACAAGGTGGTCCAGGACACCTACCAGATCATGAAGGTGGAGGGTGAGCGGTTGGGGTAGGGGTGGGGTGCAGCACGGGCCAGGGCAGCCCCACAGAGGGAGGACACATTCAGACGGTCTTCTGCCTGTGTGGGCCTCTTGGTCAGGGCGGGGCAGACTGACACAGACACACTGAGAGGTCACGGAGTGGCCCTCAGAGGCGGGCAGCCCCTGTGCACCAGACCCGACGTGAGGCAGGCCCCAGAGCACTCTCCACCCGTGAGGGCACGGGAGTTCGAACCTCCAGGCTGTGGGGCTGATGCAGCCCCAAACGTGGCAGAGTTCAGGCCGCTGGGCTGTGACCTGGAGGCACACCACCTCTTCTCTTAAGGTTTTGCCACAGGCCTCGTGCACTCACTGGGGAGAGGGAAAGACAGGGAAGCGAGGCCTTGCCCCTGGAGGTGGCCGTACCACACACCTTGTCCTCCATGGTTTGCCTGGCATTTTAGGCACACACACACACACACACCTGTGCCTGGCATGATTTGCACGCCACCAGGTCTACACTTGATCTTAGCCAAAAGGCCGAGAAGCGATACACCAGGTCTGAGGCTCAGACCACTGTCGGCCATGTGGGTACCTTAATGTCCACGCCACCTGCTGACCTTGGTACATTCCGTAAGGGTCCCTCTGCACTGGCCCTGGCCACAGCTGTGGCTGTAGAGAGCTGCTGGGGTCTTGGGAAAGTGGGGACAGCGGGTTTGATATGCTTGGAGCTCCGGCAGCGAAGGCTTAGGTCTCCCTGGGTTGTAGCCAGGGTTGCTTCCATCAGGCAGTTGGCTCTGGTCCCAGGCTTGGACAGAGATGAGGTGGGGGGCACCCCCCCGGGGTGTGGGAACCTGCCAGCCTGTGCCAGGGATGGGGACGCTTCCTGTGTAGTTTGTAAGCTGCCGCAGGCCCCGAGTCCTGGATGTCATGGGTTTGCGAGGATGCAGAGGGAGCACTAGCCCCGCTGGGTCCCCAGACTTGAGCCCTGTCCTTCAGTCGGCGCAGCTGCATGGTATGGGGGACAGAGAGCCGTGACACCAAGGACAGGTCCCGGGTCTTCCAGCTGTGGTGGGGCAGGGGCTGTCCCAACGCCCTCACTCGGGTGCAGGGTCACAGTGGCCACCCTGCTGCTCTGGGACTCTGGTGTCCACTCATGGGTCTCTTGAGGCGGCAGACACTCTGGTGTGGAGCTGCTCCCAGGTCTTCTGTGCACGGGCGGCGGGGGGACCAGCAGTGACCGGCCTCTCTCTCCAGGACATGTCTTCCCGGAGTTCAAGGAGAGTGACGCCATGTTTGCTGCGGAAAGAGGGAGTGCCGGGG